GCGTTAAAACAACTTCAACACACGCAATGTTCTGATTGCACCACAAACGCAGTAGTCATCCTTGCCTTTCACAGAGGCACTGAGTTTTATAAGTATGAGCATGATAGTGTAGAATAATATCCAAGGACCGGTGGTGGGTTTCCAAAAATTTTGGAACCTCTTCTGTAGGTGTGGCCTGCTTTCCGGGTCCACTGGTGGAACCTCTTCTAACCGGTTCGGTCACATGGGTGGCAAGCCACTCCCACAAAGGAGGCCACATCCACAGAGTAGGTTCGAACAATTTTTGAAACCCACCACTGAGTACGGCGCATAGGTATGGTTGACCTTAAACTATAGGCAGCCCATCATGGCCCCAAAACTCTGCCAATTTTCACAATTTCAATGCTCAATTGTTCAGAGATTCGGAAAAGGTTCATCTGGCTCTTGCAGGATTTCTGGAAAGTAGTGCATACCTTGTCAAGGAATATTTTGAAGTGGTTCAGTTACTTGATGTCTTTTATGGAGTCGTCCAGCACAAGTTTGCATCTGGCAATTGATTACCTGGAGGTGATGTTTCAAACAGTGCCAGATTTTAATGTTTGGGAACTCTTTAGCTATTTTGGTGATGACTCCAGATTTTCTCCCAAGCATAACGCTGGCACCATTGGAGCAGAATGCTATTCAATGCTTTTGCAGATATTCCGTGTTAAACCCAACTTTATGTAAGCTTCCCATCACTGAAGAACATATGATCTCTGCAACTTGTTTGTCCAATTCCACCAGCTCAACGAAAATGGTTGTTGGGCATTATGAATCCTCACTTTAACAAAAACTATCACAACTGCTTTCATTGATAGCATTGAAGTTTTTTCAATGATCAAACACACTTTCAGATACTTTGCAATCATGCTGGCAAACATGGTGGTTTTCATTTCGTTTGCAATGAATTCAACTATTTTCACTGCAGATCAGGGGTGGGTTTCAACCGGTTCGCGGCGGTCCCCGCAAACCAGTTGGGCGACGAACTCGGAAGTAAGTAACCTCCGGGAACGGCGAAGGGCCCACCCGCCCGCCCTCCTTACCAGTCTTTGAAGGTTTCTGCACTTCCACGCAGGCGCATGGCACATACAGCGCCTGCGCGATTCTCCGAACCGGTTGGAACGGGATAAGAAACCCACCACTGCTGCAGATCTCAGTGAATGCAAGCCTACTCCCAGATCTACTCCAATTGCAGTTAACAAATCTAACTGCCCTTCAATGTCTGAGAATGGTTTACATCAGTGGTTCCCAAACTTGGCAACTTTAAGACTTGCGGACTTCAACTCCCAGAATTCTCCAGCTAGCTCTTCTGGCTGGAGAACTCTGGGAGTTGA